ACAAACAGAACTGCCCGGTGAAACCGTAGGCAGAGAGAGAGAAGAGGACAACAAAAGAGGGGCTGTGACAAATATATATATATATTCAGCCCCTCGTTTGTTGTCCTCTTCTCCCTCTCTGCCTACGGTTTACCGGGCAGTTCTATGTGACGATATATATATATATATATACCTCCTGATGAGTCGGTGAAACTCCGACGAAACAGTTTGTCACAGCCCCTCGTTTGTTGTCCTCTTCTCTCTCTCTGCCTACGGTTTACCGGGCAGTTCTATTTGTGACTTGACGATATATATATATATATATTTTTTTTTTGTACATTTCGGATATAGCATGTGTTTTGGTTGATTTTATGAATATGAGACCCACACCTTGACACCTAAGCTTCCATAAGGAGCATTGAATCTGGGCAACTCTTTGTCGTCTAGGTAGGAGCCATCTCACCTTGTCGGCAAGTCCTGGGTTCACAGCTTCAAATTGTTCATACTTAGCCCGCATCAACTGCTTCTCCTTGTGAGTCAACAGTGCTGGCAATCCTGCCTTTAAGAGGGCACAAGAAAGAAAAGAGTCCAGTCCAGAGGCCAGTCAAATAATTTACAGGCCAGCAAGAAAAGCAGTTAACAGAGCCCTAAATTTTCTATTATTTTGGATATTTTCAGGATTTTCAGGACTTTCAGGGCTTGCCAAACCAGTCATCCCCTAGAGTCCTAGGCTCCAACAAAAACCAAACTTGGCTCACACAGACCTTGACCAAAAATATAAAACAGGGCCAAAAAAAAAAAGAAAAAAAAAAGGATTTATCAAATTTGAAATTTTATGATTTTTTAATATTTTTTTCCCCAAATGCCACAAGTTTTCAGTGCTTGGTGGGGGGAGGTAACCTATGGGCTGAAAAATGGGGATCCCTGTTATAATTAATAATAAGTTATTATAAGTTTTATAACCCACATGCAAGGAAAATGAGCGATAGCGAACTCCAGAAACCAAGCAGCATCATACACATGAGACCAGATAGTCGTGACCTCGAACCAAAAGCAGAATTGAACACGAGTTCCACCAAATAAGAGCACAGCAAAAGCTCATAAGTAACAATGTTGGAATAGTCGACTTCCTATCTGGCGCTCCGCACCCAGACTAACAAATAGCAGATCCTATCTAGCCTATCTACAATGCCGCTGGTGACGTCAACAGCTCCCCAAAGTACGAGCAGATCTCGGCCAATGCCGATCGCCTCAAGCACCAGGTATGTCTCTCGTATCACTCACAACCTCGATCCCCCACTCACAGATGCCACTTGCACCCAAAGACCACCATGCGCCCATCCAGCATAGCGCAGCTCGGCTATGGCTGCCTGCTCATCCAGCTCGCCCGAGAGCGCGTGAGCGCTGGCCAGCGTTTAGCGCAGCAGCGCTTGCGCAGCATGCAGCCAGTGCCCGAATGCCAAATGCGAGGGCAGGCACTTTCCTAAATGGAAGTGGCCTGCCTGCTGCGTGTGGCCTGGCTGCGCTGGGCCTCTGTCCAGAAGCTTCCGGTAGGGCCCGAGAGGCTGAGCCCCGGTCCAAACAAGTCAAGCCCAGGGCCTGTGGCGGTTGCCTGTGCCCAACTGCCCGCAGCCTGTGTTCGGCCCTTGTGTGTATTTGGCCCACGGCCTGCCTCAGTTACGTACGAGAACGGCAGCCTGGGCCTGGGCGCTCTCAACCAACTCACGCTGCACAACTGCCTGAATTTCTCCAGTTGCGTGGTAGCCGAAAAATAGGCCTCTTGGCCTCGGTCGGGCCTGCCTTCACTTAGGGCGGCCGACTGTGCTGCTTACAGGGGGAAAAGGGGGCTCATCGGGGCCTTATGCCTCGCACACACCAATAGATAGGAGCTCAACATGCGTAAGCAAAAAGGGAAAAAAAAGCAGGAGTAAGGGATACTGATGCAAAGGATGGGCTTCCAGGTCAGTCAATCCCCCTCCACAATTGAGCAACCAATGCTGCAGGGCAGAAAGTGCAAACGGGTAACCGTTGCCCATACCCGGCCGTACCCAACTGTAACCGCCAGGTTACGGGTGGGTATGGGTATCCCTTCCGAAAGGGGAGTTGGGTATGGACAGGCACAAACAAAAGGTGGTGGTCGTTAGGACGGGCACAATTGCCCTTTTGGGAGATCATGGGTGGGTAGGGGCAGGTAGCGGTAGGGGTAAAAAAAAAAAAACCGGGTATGAGCGGCCAGAAAAAAAAAGATGGGTATGGGGGTACTATGGGCAGGTACGGGTGGCCAAAAAAAAAAAAGGGTGGGTACGGGCGGGTAGAGGTTCCCATCGGGTGACCGTGGTATAACCAATGTGGGTCTTGTAGCTTTGAAGGCTTTGTATTTTTGCTCAGGCGTGATACTTTTCTCATATTCCAAATTTCTCGCTTCCCATGAAGTAAACGTTTTTTCTCGTAAGGGTGAATTATATATCTTTTTTTTTTTTTTTTTTTTTTTTTTTTTTTTTTTTT